CCAGGCAGACATTGTATCTTAGGGATATATAAGCCAAAACAGACATACATACATACACATACATACATACATACATACATACACATACATACAACACATACATACATACATACATATACACAACACACAAACACATACATACATACAAACAAAACAGCACAAACTTCCTATAAAGAAGAACAACAACAACAAAACAACAAGAACAACAACAAGAACAACAAAACAACAACAACAACAACAACAACAACAACAAGAACAAGAACAACAACAACAACAACAACAACAACAACAAAAAGAAGAAGAAGAAGAAGCAGAAGAAAAAAAGAAAAGAAAAGAAGACCACAAAAAAAAGAAAAAGAAGAAAGAAGAAGAAGAAGAGGAAGAAAAGAACCGGATGTAGTAACTTGTGGGTCTTGGGGAGGAGACATTAACCCGGAGCTGACACAAACACAGTCTCACAGCATCAAGACACCATTCTCAATGAGAAAGAATTCCTCCCTCCCTCTCACTTCCCCCCCTCAACACAGTCTCTCACAGCATCAAGAGACACCATTCTACCATAAGAACCCTCCTCCTCTCCCCCCCTCAAAATATATATCCCTTATAGATGAACCATACAAGGAAGAGGAGGAGAGGATGGAAAGAGGGAAGAGATGGAAAAGGATGAGGAGAAGAAGGAGAAGAAGAAAGAGGAATAGGGGAAACAAGAGGAGGAACAGGAGGAGAAGAGGGGGAAAAGGAGGAGGAAGAGAGAGAAGAGAAAGAGGGGAGAATAGGAAGAAGAGGGGGAGGGAGGGGGAGGGGAGGGAAAAGGGAGGAGGAGGGGAGGAGGAGGAGGGGGAGGGAGGGGGGAGGGGAGGAGGAGGAGGAGGGAGGGGGAGGAGGGAGGAGGGGAGAAGGAGGAGGGGGAGGGAGGAGGGGGGAGGAGGGAGGGGGAGGAGGAGGGGGGGAGGAGGAGGGGGAGAGGGGAGGAGGGGAGGGGAGGGGAGGAGGGGAGGAGGGGAGGGGAGGGGAGGAGGGGGGAGGGAGGGAGGAGGAGGAGAGGGGAGGAGGAAGAGGGAGGGCCGGATATCGCTGTCTGGGGAAAACGTCGATAAACTCTCGCCTCCTCCCTCCTGTCCCTGTCCGTCCCGTCCCAGCGAGGCGGAAGGAGGGGGGCGGAAACCTCCTCCTACAGGATACACTCAATCACTGGCAGAAGGTACAACAACGACCCACCTCAAGGCGCACACGGAGGAGATGACGACTGAGAGATTGTCCCTGTTCCGCCTTGTAACGACCACCCGACGGAGGTAGTGGGGTGGGGTGGGGTTGGGAGGGGTGGGGTTGGGGTGGTGGGTTGAGGGGTAGGTGGAGGGAGGTTGAGGGGTATGGTGGGTTGAGGGTGGTGGGGTTGAGGGGTATGGTGGGTGGAGGGGAGGGTTGAGGTATGGTGGGGTGGAGTAGGGGAGTTGAGGGGCATGATGGGTTGGGGTGGTGGGTTGAGAGGCATGGTGGGTGGAGTGAGGTTGAGGGGTATGGTGGTTGGGGTGGTGGGTTGAGGGGCATGGTGGGTTGAGGGCATGATGGGTTGGGGTGGTGGGTTGAGGGGTGGTGGGTAGAGGAGGGGTTGAGGGGCATGGTGGGTTGGGGTGGTGGGGTTGAGGGGCATGGTGGCAGAGTGAGGTTGAGGGGAAGGATGGCTGGGGCAGGGGCTGAGGGCAATGGTGGGCAGAGTGGGGAGGCTGAGGGGTACAGGGTTGGGGTGGTGGAAGGAGGGGTATGGTGGGGTGGGGGGTGAGAAGGAGGGGGTATAGTGGAGAAGGAAGATGACACGATATTAGGGGTGTTGGTGGGGTGAGGAAGTAAGTCAAGAAGAGGAGTGGGAAGAGGAGGAGAGGAGGAGAGGAGGAAGAGGAGGAGGAGGAAGAGGAGGCCAAGGAGGAAGAGGAGGAGGCTCAAGGAGGAAGAGGAGGAGGCTGAGGAGGAAGAGGAGGAGGCTGAGGAGGAAGAGGGAGGGAGGCAGGAGGAAGAGGGAGGAGGCCAAGGAGGGAAGAGGAGGAGGCCAAGGAGGAAGAAGAGGAGACCAAGGAGGAAGAAGAGGAGGCTGAGGAGGAAGAGGAGGAGGAGGAGAGGAGGAAGAGGAAGAGGAGGAGGCTAAGGAGGAAGAAGAGGGGGATAAGGAGGGAAGAAGAGGAGGCCGAGGAGGAAGAGGGAGGAGGTTGAGGAGGAAGAGGGAGGAGGCCAAGGAGGTAGAGGAGGAGCAAAGGATGAGGAAGAGGAGTAGGCAAGGAGGAAGAAGAGGAGACTAAGGAGGAAGAAGAGGGAGGCTGAGGGGAGGAAGAGAGGGAGGAGGCCAAGGAGGAAGAGAGGAGGCTAAGGAGGAAGAGGAGGAGGGAGGAAGAAGGAGGAGGCTAAGGAGGAAGAGGAGGGAGGGGAGAGGAAGAGGAGGAGGCCAAGGAGGAAGAAGAGGAGCAAGGGAGAAGAAGAGGAGAAGGAGGAAAGGGAGGGAGGCGAGGAGGAAGAGGAGGAGGCAAGGAGGAAGAGGAGGAGGCCAAGGAGGAAGAGGAGGAGGCCAAGGAGGAAAGGAGGAGGCGAGGAGGAAGAAGAGGAGCCAAGGAGGAAGAGGAGGAGGCTGAGAGGAAGAAGAGGAGCCAAGGAGGAAGAGGAGGAGGCCAAGGAGGAAGAGGAGAGGCCAAGAGGAAGAGAGGAGGTGAGGAGGAAGAAGAGGAGGCCAAGGAGGAAGAGGAGGAGGCCAAGGAGGAAGAGGAAGGAGGAAGAGAGGAGGCCAAGGAGGAAGAGGAGGAGGCCAAGGAGGAAAAGAAGAGGAGCATAAGAGGAGCAGGCCGAGGAGGGGGAAGAGGCAGGTTATGGTGGCACGAGTGAGGGATGAAGAAGAATGAAAGAGTATGATGAAGTATGATGATGATGATGGTGGAGGGTATAGTGTACAGTACAGTAGTATAGTGAAAGAAAATGAAAGGCGATAATATTCCAACAAAAACAACAACAAACAAGTACACAAGCAATGACAAGGTAATAATAATAAAGAAGAAGAAGAAGAAGAAGAAGAAGAAGAAGAAGAAGAAGAAGAAAGAAAGAGAGGAAGAAGAAGAAGAAAAGAAGAGGAAGAAGAAGAAGAAGAAAGAGGAAGAATTGTGTCATGACGGCAACATAACCATCAATCAATATTTGTAAACAGTGATCTTAATGTGGTGAAAAAAATAAATACAATTATCACATCAGTAGAAGGAAAGAGGACGAGGGTGTGTGGGGGTGTGTGGGGTGGGGGTGGGGGTGGGGTGTGTGGGGGTGTGTGGGTGTGTAGGGGTGTGGGTGTGTGGGTGTGTGTGTGTGTAGGGGTTGTGTGGGTGTGTGTGTGTAGGGGATCGGTTATGGTGGTGGTTGTGGTGTGGTACTGAGGAGGGTGGTGTGAGGGAGGGGGGTGGTAGAAGGTGGAGGGGAAAGCAGGGGGAAAAAGAGGGTGGGGTGAGGAGTTGGAGGTAGAGAAGGGGAGGGTGGAGGGGGAGGTGGAGGGAAAGGGAGGGGTAGAAGGAAGGAGGAAGGAAGGGAGAGGTGTGGGGGAATGGGCAGGGGTGATGGGAAGTGGGAGGGGTGGATGGAAAGGAGGATGGGGTGGAGGGAAGGGGGAAACTAGTTCAAGGATGTGGATGAAAGGGGAGGGGTTTGGAGAGGGGGGCAGTTAGCTGATCCGTTCGTCAGGTATTAACATGCCCAATGTACCCCCCACACACACACGCACTCACACACCCTAATCTTCCCCCACACACGCAAGCCCTAACCTCTCTCACACACCTTCTCCCAAGACACGCACGCACACACTCCCCAGCCTCCCCAACATACAAGCCAAAACCCACACCTCAAGCCTCCCCACACCCACACACATGAGCTTCCCCACCCCCCCATATATTCCTCCAACACACAAGTGAAAGTGACACATCTGGGAAGGGGATGATGATGATGATGATGATGATGATGATGATGATGATGGTGGTGGTGATGATGATGAGATGATGATGGTGATGATGATGGTGATGATGATGAGATGATGATGGTGGTGGGTGATGATGAGATGATGATGGTGATGGTAGGATGATGATGGTGATGATGATGATGAGATGATGGTGGTGGTGATGATGATGGTGATGATGATGATGATGATGGTGGTGGGGATAGTGATAGATGACAAAGTTGACAGCAGACGATGGAGATGACAATTGTGAAGGGTATGCAGCGACAGCTGATGGTGGTGATGGTGATGATGTAGTGGCGATTGTGGTGGTGTATTGTGGTGGTGTATTGGTGATGACATAAGACGACCACACAACACCAGTGACGCGACCTCACCTATTGACTCATGATGACCTGGCGATGACAACCAACTTACTGACTACTCCTGCCTGACCTCACCGCCCCCTCACCTTAAATCTCATTCCTCACTCGCCCCTCACCTCCCCAAATTCAAGTTCCCCCTCACCCCCATGCCCCTAACTTAGGAGAGTCGACCCGAGGAAAAATTCAAGGGTGGGTGGGTGGGTGGGGGAGGGTGGGTGGGTGGGCAGGCAGCACACGGTCGGGGGCGCCTAACAAGAAGTGGAACAAAGGAAGCTGGAAAGTTACATGACGACACAGATAAACCGAAAAGTTAAGGCCGGCGCAAACACCACCAACTGCGGGGGGAGGAGGGGGAGGGGGAGGGGGAGGGAGAGGGGCCAAGGAAGGGAGAGAGGGAGAGAGGGGAAGGAGACGGAGAAAGGGGTGTGAAAAGGTGAGAGGGAGGGAGAGAGAGAGAGAGAGAGAGAGAGAGAACGAAGGGGGGAGATAAAGGTCAAGGGAGGGGGAGGCTAACACAGTGTCAACACCCAGGTGAACTAGGTCAGGTCAAACATTCACACGCGGTGATAGTTGGTGGGCAGGCAGAGACGAAGGCAGGTGGGCAGGACAAAGGCCTGTAGCCTGCATGTCATCACTAACCACAACACAATCCAGCTTGCCTAGCC